GGGAACAAAGTATGGATGATATGGCACAGTACCTATCATAGACAAAGTGGGGAACAAAGTATGGATGATATGGCACAGTACCTATCATAGACGTGGACTCTGAACCCTCGCCCTTTGGCTCTGAATGGCCGATGTCCATCTGTGTAAAATCCCCGGTCCCGTTCCGGCCGTGACACTCGGTGGTGCCCTGCTGATCACAGGGGGGGCCTTCCGCTCACCACGTCTGCATGTTCGTACTGTGCAGAAGCTGGAGGAGCAGGACCGCAAAGCGCTGAACGTGAAGGAGGCCCTGCAGCGGGAGCACCGCTACCTCAAACGGCGCCTGGAGCAGCTCTCCGTCTCGGGCCTGGAGCGCGTCCGGACCGACAGCATGGGCTCCACCATCTCCACCGACTCTGAGCAAGGTACAGGCCCCCTGTGCGCTCCGACTCGCCGCAGAGTGCTGACTCACACGTTGACTTAGTGGTAAACCCCCCCCTCCGGCCCGCCCCTCCTTTACAGGAATACTGTGATGTAACACGCAGCTTCCGGCTTGCAGGGGCTGATGAGTAAATCTTTACATGGTAGGAGTCGCTTGCCGTGGGGGTCACCAGCCAACCAGCCGTCACCGGCCAGAGCAATAGTCCAGGCCGAAATCCGCACAGACCGCAAGAACTCCCCCCCCCAAATGGCGGCCGCGTAATGAACTCCCCCGTAGCTCGTTAAGGCTTCCTGGAAGTATCTGGTTGGGTACCAGGATGTGAGCATCACACCTCAGGATGTGTATGCGGTAGGATGTGGTATAAGCTGGGTCTGCCTGCTGGCTTTTTTGGGCCAACCCCAGGATGCTTGAAACCAGAACTAACAAGCCCGGCATGGGGGGGGGGGTTGCAGGTTACTCTGCCAGGCAGCCCACAGAATATACTGAGTGGTGAAATTCATATGTTTTGTACAGAATACACGGTACGATGCAGCAGGTTGTTCAGGTGTTGGCTGCCCCAGAGGGCCTACCACAGAATCAGGCCCGAAACTATTTCAGCAGCGATGTGATGGGCAGGTTTACACATTGGCCTCACCTTTTTTTCAGAGAGGGTCGGTGCTGCGGGGTAGTGACCATCCATCTGTTTCCGTCTGTGCAGAGGTGGACATTGAGGGGATGGAGTTCACCCCGGGAGAGGGCGACAGCATGGGCAGCGTGAGCGACGCTGAGGAGGACCACTACAGCACACGGAGCAGCTCCGCCTCCAGCCCAGTCTCCGCCTCCAGCCCAGTCTCCGCCTCCAGCCCAGGCTCCTCCTCCAGCCCAGGCTCCGCCTCCAGCTCCGGCAGCTACACACATTCCCACAGACTTCAGTCCTGCCATTCCTAAGCGCACTCCCCGGCTCCGCCCAGCGACCCAAATGCACCACCTTCGTTGATTTGCCCCATGTGGGGCGGAAACGGCCTGGCTTCCAAGAATGGGACCGCAGACAATGCCACTTGTGACGTCCCCTTCATCCTCCTCTCTTTACCTCCCCCCCCCCCCCACTTCATTTGCCACAGTTATAATCTCAGAC